CCCCCCCCCCCCCCCCCGATTCCCTTTTCTGTTTTTTTTAAACCCCAACACAGGTGAAGGCTTTGGGACGGCGTTGGCGCAGTTTGAGCGTGAGTGTCCACCGGTTTGGTGGGAAGCCATCGCAGGTCGCTCCTATAATTAGCAGCGAGGATTGTTGAGGTGGAAGATGTTATGCAAAGCCCACGCTGGCTCATCCACATATGCACGTATACGTGCGCACGCCATATTTTTTCTGACCAAAGGGTGTTTATTTGATCAGAGAAAAAAAAGCCACAAAGCTCCGGCGAGCAGCGGGCTTTTTTGTCCATGAGCTTCAAAGCCAGGCTAGACCAAACAGATCATTGTTATGGGACAGGAAGCTTCCACATCCAGTGTATTTTTTCCACCTGTTTTTTTTTTTTTTTTTTTTTTACATTTCCAAAATCCTACATCCTCACATACGCAACTACAAATCTATTGTTTCTGTGTGGGTTATTTGAAACGAAGGATGTTTAGCAGTAAGTAGCAGCTGCATGGTGTTAACATAGCACTGTGTGTGTGTGTGTGTATTGTGTATTGTGTATTGTGTATTGTTCTCCTGAGAGCCCCCTTCTGCAGATTGATGACGTTGACACCGGTCATTATTAGCTACTCAATGACACTTTGCCAGAGCGGGAGGATTTTTCAACCCCCCAGCGTTGATTTTTTTTTCAGAAACACCTATCATCAGCGTGGTGTCCAAAGAGGCTAAGCATGATTTATGTAAATATTAACATCGAGACAGATCTGGTTCTGTCCGACCGGAGATAGATGGCAGCCGAGGAGGGAAAAGCAGCTGATTTCTGGGATTTCTCTGCCTCTCTGCGTGTGTGTGTGATTGATTGTAGATGAGAGCGAGAGATTAATCATGCTTGATGTGTGTTAACGTTGCACTCGCGGTGGATCTAAGTCGAGATGCAGTGGCCCATTTAAATATACTCAATCACACACTCACAGGAGGGAGCGGGGCACACATGTACTCACCACGCACACACACACACACACGTTGTTCGGCTGTGAATGGCACACAGGCACGTAGCATTTGGCCGTTTTAGGACACGCGTTACGTGAGAGCTGATGTTGTTTGTTGAAGACAAATGTTAATAAT